GACATTGTTTTGTTTATATTATAATTATATGTATTAAATATGTACTTGCTTCTATTTTATGTGTAGCTGCGACAAAATAAATATTTATTTATTTATACGGGACAAAACAAATATAAAATTCGCATTCACAACACATATAGCGTTCAATCGGTTTTAAAGTGACTTTGACAATGAAACCGCATCGGCCCATTAGCTCAGCTGGTTAGAGCGTCGTGCTAATAACGCGAAGGTCGCGGGTTCGATCCCCTCATGGGCCAGCCATTTATTTTTCTTTTTTTCTTTAATTTTTCCGCAACCTTTTCAAGGTATCTGACGGAGTGTATGAAACAGTTTTTTATTGCTCGCAAATGTACTGAGAATAAAGAGAAAAAAGAGACAGGAGGAGGACACACACGCCACACACATGAAGCAATTTTCATTGATTTTTAAAGCAACGATAATCCCCGGGAAACCGAGTCGTTAGGACTACGGAACGATATAATATGCTGGACATGAAACAATTTAGAATGAAAAGCTTCATAGCAATAAGTGGAAAATGTCAACGTATCCTCAGGCACAATCACAACCAAGTAATACATATACCGTCCCAACCCCCACGTGGATGATGTCATTGCGAAGTAAAGTAAGAGAAATCCAAGTAAGTGCGCTTATGCTGAGACATTTGATGATCTCAGAGCTGGACTGGGCCAAGTGCCATTTAATTTCTTATCTATCAAAGATGGCAAAGCCTAAAAGCTAATGGTTTTAATTAACTTTAAACTCAAGGTGTGACTACAAATGTGTGTATATATAAGTATACACATTTTTTCCTTTCATAGTAACCAGTTGAATTTTGATTGTTAAATTAAGAGTCCTTGTTCATTAATATATTTTTAAAACACAACGAAAATGAATATAACCGCAGCAGAATCGGATAAACATATCTGCCAGAAATCCATACTGATGTTCAAAGATGCGGCTAAGCACGAAATCAAGGGACATGGATGGGAGGGAACTAAAAAACATGTAACTTTTAATCGATTTATCGACTATCATATTTATACAGAGAATTCAGATATGGAAGAAATGCAGTCCTCCTRCCTTGATGAAGACTATGATGATGATGATTGGGTAGCTCTAAATTTGACCTTTTTTATCTCATCTATTTTAAATTTCAATCCATAATCAATTTACTTGCAGGGCCTGAGTGATGAGCAACTAAGTGAAATGTCCATGGACAGTAAAGCTAACTCGTAAAATTCATAACATTTTTTTTTATCTATATATTTGATACGTCTGGCTTACGTAATATACAGTAGTAAGCAAAGAGACGATAAACTATGGCCGGAAGCTGAAAACGTTTTAATGGAAGCGACGTGACAGTCGACGGGTGTCTCAATAATAAACTATCGTTCTCAGGCTCTAAACGTTTTGTTTGCAATAACATTATGCACTTAGATATTGATTGGGATTTTAAAATGCAATGGATAGATAGTCACTCACGGAGCTCATACTACTACTATATATATCGTAGACATAGCTGGATGGTTCTATCTGTAGTTACTTAAAAGCAAAAGCTCTACATTGAAGCACTTATCTAACAATAGAGCACTATATAATATCTTAGATATATCTCGATCATTTCAGATAAAAACTCGCTTTTCTTAGAAAAAACTATATAGTCTCACCTATAAATATTGGGCGATCCATAGTCCTGCAGCAAAGATTTCAAGTGTGTACACAATAGATATATGTTCATACTATATGTATTTATATATCTATCAGCAATTATCTATATCGATAAAGAGTCTAATGTAATTTGATCTTGAGTAAGAGAACAACCACTTGGAAATATTATGTATTTCTCGCAAACTCATGTATTTTATTGACATTTAGAAAATCCCAAATTCAATAGAATAAAGGCATGTCAATTTGGATATTATGCCTCATCTATATAGAAATTAAAAAATACAGATATATATAGATAATATATAATGAGACCGTGTAATGCAATTAGAACCGATTTTCTCTGCGATCCAAATGACGAATTGAGTCTATATAAAGCGGATCGAGAACCAAGACTGGAACAGACGAATCAGAATGTTTGTGAAGATCTCAATAATAGTAGTGCTCACTTCTCTGCCCGCCTTGGCCTTTGTCGCTGTAGAGCCCTGGAATTCAATACCACCACATATAGATCGACGCGTTGTGGGTGGTTCTCCGGCTTTATTTGAGGCGTATCCTTGGCAAGTTTCGCTGCAGTTTTATGACAGGCACTTCTGTGGTGGCAGCCTAATTGAACCAGATTTGGTTCTAACCGCCGCCCACTGCATGCTCGGGATGGAAAGCAATGTAGACCATCTGGGGATCAGAGCTGGCAGCATTATCAAATACTCTGGCGGAAGTAGTGTCGGCATTAAGGCCTTTACGACGCACCCTAAATACAATTTATATGACAAAATGAACGATGTGGCTCTGATCAGACTCAAGTCGAAGCTCGAGTTAAGCAACTCCATTAAAACGATTAAGCTAGCCACCAGCACGCCTAAACATGGCGCCCCTGCCATCGTCTCCGGCTGGGGCACTACCAGCTTCCATGGAAGTCGTCCTAACAATCTGCTCTATATCAATACCTTCATTGTGGGCCGTGAGCAATGCGCCAGTCCCCAATATAGCTATGGCGCCAAGATACAGGAGACTATGATCTGTGCCGCATCTCCCGGTAAGGACGCCTGCCAGGGCGACTCCGGCGGACCCCTTGTATCTGGCGGCGAGCTGGTTGGCGTCGTTTCGTGGGGCACAAATTGCGCCAAAGACGAATATCCGGGCATCTACGCTGATGTGGCGATGCTACGCGATTGGATCATCGAAACGGCGAAAACACTTTAGCGCAAACAAAGCTGATTTTAGATAAACTAATGAAGTACATATTCAATATATAAGTGGCCAAAGCATTCTGGGTTCGTTTAAGTCCTCTTTGCTGAATAATATTGTACTCAAGTGCTCTTTGACTTATAAATTATAACTATATTCCAGACTTGCAATGAATGAATAAATAGGAGAGGGCTTTGAAAACGGTGCTGTATAATGCGACCCCGAATTGTCCACTCAAGTGGAAAGTAGTTTGTTACTCGAATCATTCCCATTAGAAATACTTTTACATAGTGTATATAGCATTGATCATCAGGATGAATTTAACAATTATGAGTAATATAATAGTATTTTAAAATATATATCAATAGTTTACAATGCAAAATTATAGTTCATGAGCTGACGCACTGAATCGTTGGCCCATTTAAACCAAAGCAGAGCTTATAGTACAAAAGGTTAAGCATATTCTCTGATTCAATAAACTCTCTTAATCATATATTCCCATAGCTCTTAGCAAAACTTTTCTATTTCAGTTCGTTTTTATTTTCTTAAACTTAAATTACTTTCATATCAAGAAATGTATATATAAGTTTTGATTCATATTCAATTGATTCATTTCGCTTGATGTGGATATTAAAAATGCTTCAGTAATAGCGCAAAAAATGTGGAAATAATTGTTTAATTGAAAAATAAATTCGATTTTACGCGGACATATTTGAAGTGAGACTTTTCTCTCAGGTAAAAAACAAACTCTTTGGTAGAGCTGTATAAAAAGCATTACTATTAATCCAAGCTTCATTAATAACACTCACTCACCTTCGTATTCCTTGCGTTTACGACGTAGGAATGAAGTGGTCATGCGTATTCCGCGTGCCGCATTCGACAAGATGGAGGCACGGGAGTCCTTGCGATTACGGGACGATCTGTGCCGCGAACCGCCGGGCTCTGCTGGCGGCTGACAGGAGGAGAGTGTGCCAGCCAAGGAGCTGGACTGCGGCGTGATGGGCGTGTTGGGCGTGTCGGAGTCAATGAATCCCAGATTGCTATTGGCACTGTTCAGATGGATGCTCGTATGGCTGAGCACGGGCAGCTTGCCGCTCAACGATGCAGCCAGCTGCTCATCGAGGCCGTTGCTTGTCTCCTGCGTCTGCAGATGCTCCAACGACTCGAAGTCTCTGTTGATAGCTGGCGGCATGGAATGTCGAAACCAGGACTCCTGGCGATGCAGTGAAGAGCGTTGCTGTCGCCGTCGCTGGCTGGGATTACAGCTGGCTGTGGTATTGGTCCTGCTTAGCTCCACGGAAATGCTGGGCGAGTTCTTCGCTTGCAGCTCCAAGCTCTGGCGCTGATAACAGCCAGACATATTCGTTAGAGTCGAGGGCTTAGAAAGCCAAGGCACTTAGTAGGTATATATAATTGTATGCGTGTGTATGTATAGCGTATAGATCAAGGCACCTCTTAAAGCAGTTAGCTATGATATATATATTTATTTAATTAGAACATATTCACAGTTATATAAGGTCCTTAACCCAAGCCCAAGTCCAAGCCTGGAACTCAGAGCGCTAAGGACATGTCTCTGAGAACCTAAACAACTGACAGCCATCCACAACTTTGGCTGTCTAATATTTCTACTTGTTTCGTCTCTCTAACCATTGCAAGTTGTACATCAAAAATTTATAGCACTTAAAACACACATAGTTATTTGGCTGTCACGCATATGCAGTTCTCGCTGACAGCAACTATACTATACAGTTTATATATACAATATATATACCATATATATCGTAGTACATATGCATCAACAATCAGATTTGTTGATTTTCCTAAAGGCACAAATTTGCATTAGCTATGCAGCTGCTAAGTTTTCATCACGTAAATGCAAAGGTTTTCAATTATCGCACAATTAAGTACAGTAATTAATTATAGTTAAGGCCAATTAGCGAGTTCAGAATATAAACACGTATCTATATCTACATAACTTCAGATGCGCTGTTGTGATTTTCGCCCAAATAACTTTTTTTTTTGTCGTAGCCTTGCCGCCGTGCCACAAAATGCGTGTCCATAACGTGCGAAAGCCGAAAGCCAACTGCCAAAGCAAAGTCAAGCCAAGCGAAACGAAGCTAAACTAAACGCAACAAAAAGGACATTCAATAAAATGTCCTTCGTCGTCTACGAACGAAAGCCGAAGTGAAAGTTGTTAACTACAGCGAAGCCGAAGCCGTGGCCGAAACAGAAGGTAAGCAAAATATGATTTAGAAAATCAAAACAAACTCAAGCTAAATATTTCACGACATAACAAGAATTAAATAATGCAGATTTATTGATTTCCATTGCATGTTAAGTCAATAAATACTAAACACTTATTTAAAATAAAATAAGTTTTCATTCATATAAACAATCGCCAAGCATTCATTACATATACAACATTTAGACAAACACCGTCAACATGGCCCATTAGCTCAGCTGGTTAGAGCGTCGTGCTAATAACGCGAAGGTCGCGGGTTCGATCCCCCCATGGGCCAGATTTTTTTTCTTTTAATTTTTTATATAAACATTTTTAAAAGCCAAACTAAACAGTAAGTGCCTTATGCCTATCATATATATAGCACATGACGCCCACTCAATCTTATCAATAATGTAGAGCACTAGCTAGGAAATTGAAAACATTTCTTTTAAATAGAATCACTATGTATTTCAATCTAACTTCTGATTCACGTAAATTAACTTTGTATTCCTAATGTTTACTTACTTACGTGATTGCGAATACGTATTGCTAATGTTTACTTACGTGTTTGCAAGAGCCCGGCAGATTCGGGGCGTGAACGACGATAACTTTGCCTTGGTGCAGTTGTCTGTGCATCGGCATCTTCTTCTTGTAGGTGGTAACGGGACACCATGTGAGTATGTGTGGGGCTTCAGATCTGCGCAGATATTTAAGCAACTGGTGTGAACCAGCACTAACAAAATATAGCACTCACAAACAGGCGCGAAGGAAAATATAAATAAGAAAGTGCACTATGTCTTTAGCACTAATGCATGTTTAACTATTGGTATTATCTACCACACAAACACATACATGTTGTTATTGTTTAATATTTGTTGATAAGGGGAAACCAAGCAAATAAAAACCACACGCTTTTAGCTGTGGACGCGAAAACATACTGATTAATAAACAGAATAAATAACAGAATGTTATACAGTGGACTGCCGTTATGCTCTGCAAAGCCATTCAACAGCTTACTGACTTGTAAAGGAATTATTTACGAAATATATATAAACGCATATTTTATAAAAATTGTATTTTATCCCACAGTTGGTAATTTTAAAACTTAAAAAATGAAGAACTGTTTACTTCATTAATAGATGACAGCGGTCAGCTGTTTCTAACATTATTGATTTAATTACTTAATAGAAGCGCTACAAGTGAAAATCTGCTTTGACCAGGGCTGCACCGCCATTTAAAGATCTGGCAACGCCAAATAGCTGATAAGCAACTATACGTTATAATTCAAAAAGAAAATAACTGAAATATGCATTATCCCAGTGCACTGCGTGAGAAGGAAATAGACAGATTTTTAAAACGAACTACAGATGTATTTTATTCTATAACATATTGGTATAAAACGCCTTATGTCTTATATTCTATAAACTTGTCGATTTCAACTTATTTTTTACATTTTAAACATAGAGATTAATCATAATTTAACTTCAATATCCATGCCGATTTTTAACTGAAAACGAAAATTCATAGCAATCAAATTAATATTTAAATCAAGCGCAAAAGAGAATAATCATTTTATTTTGTTATAGAAAATAAACGATCTGATATGGCAAGAGATGGCATCAGTTATTCAAGAGTTATATATAGGATCTATATGGGATTATGATACTGTTCTCGATTAGTTGTGCACTTATATATAGTGTAAGTATTATATATAAATATGTAAATGTATATGTATATGTATGTATGTAAATATGTTCATTAGTCATTCAATATGAACGATTGTGTCTCTGGTTGTCTTGCATTTTGTTACATATAAAATTATATATCCRTTTTATTGTTATTATTATTATTATACAGTCTTTCGAAAATGCAAGTACTATATAACTCGTTGCTTTGCGTGCCTTATTTACAGGACATTTACAAGAGAACATTAAAACAAGGAATTAGTAGAAAAATAAAAATGCGAAAATCGTGAGAAATAAAAAATAATTGTGAACCCGCATGAAATTCGCAATCAAATCAATTGTTGTTATAAAACATTTTCCATATTAGAGCGCACATTGCGCAGGACGTTGTGCGTCTTAAGTATTTGATTTTTAATATCCTTTTCGACTTGTGCTTTTGCTTTGTTAACCACACGCAACTTTTCATAGGTGTCTTCGAATGCGCGCTTTGTGCGTATTAATTTGCGCCGCAATTCGGCATTTTCTTGCTCTACCTTTAGGCAATCGTGCACCGGCACGGGCAGCTCTCCGGCTGGCGGTTCCGTATCGGGTGAAAGATCTGTTGAAGGAAGACGTATCTATCAGATTTGGTTTTTAATATTAATGTTCATCGACTTACCATCCTTCTCGTCAAGTATATCATCATTGACCAGCTCCACGGTCTTAAGCAAGGGATGCTGTGCGTTCGACAGCTCCACACTGTGCACTCGACCCGTATCACTCTCGATGCCCAGATCCGGCGATGGATTGCTAAGCCGTCCCATTGCTCGTTGCCGCTGAGGCAGCTCCTCTGATGTATAACCGGATTGTGAGACATCGCTGGGATCCCTTTGCCTTTGCTTTTGCTTGTGCTTTTGCTCCTCCTGCAGCTGGACCAGCTGCAGCCTCATCTCCTCCAGCCGTTGCTCCAGCTGCAGTTTGTCATTGTAGGCCTTGGTGCGCTCCATGATGGCCTTTGAGGCTTGCAGCGTGCTCTCGTCCAGCTCCTTTTTGAGTGCACGAGCTGACAGCTCGTTCTCAACGAGTGTCTGCTTCAGCTCCTTCTCATTGTCCTGGTAGAACTCCAGGGAACTTTGTAACTGGGCCAGCTGACTCCTCAGCTCCTCATATTTGGCCAAGGCTACCCAATTGCGCTCCAGTTCCTGTTGTTGCAGACGCTGCTGTGCCTCCAAGCGCTCAGATATTTCCAGCTGGTATTCCGCAAGCTTTGTTTGATTTTCTTTTTGCACTGCCAAGATTTGTTGGTGCGCCTCCTGCAGCTCCAGTTCTGTGATTTGTGCATCCGCCTGCAGCCTCTTGTGCTCCACTTGCAGCTGCTCCAACTGCTGCGTCTTTTGCTCAATGAGAGCCTGAAGCTCTTCCATTTGTTGTTCCTCTTGGCAGCCTATTGCGCGCAGATCTGCATGAAGCACATCGTTTTGGATACGCAACTGCTCCAATTGTTGATTCAACTCGATGACGCGCAGCTGCTCCTGCTTGTAGCGATTGTCAGCCTCGACCAGCTGGCATTGAGCTTGCAGCAGGCGCTCATCACGTTGCGCTATCAATGCCTCCAGCTGGCCGATGCGCTCACTTCGGCGCTCCTGCTTGATCGTGTTTGTGGTACAGGCGTGGCCTTCGCTATCCGATTCGCTGTGATGCTTCTCGCCAGCCACACTGTTCGACGTATCCTCCAGTCCGATGCGCGCCAATGATACCTTGCGATCCGGCTCCGACCAGGCCTCCGATTCGCTTTGATTGTCCGGTTGCTGCTGCGGCAGAGGCAGCGAGCGTCGCTCCTTGCGTGCTTCGGCTTTGGACGCCTTGGCTGTCTGCAGATCCTCGTGGGAATTGTACGTATGATTGCATTCATCCGGCTCGTTGTTGTAGAGCATTTCGGAGAGCTTGCTCAGCTGCGCCAGACTCTGATCGGCCAGCGAAACGCCCGTGATGGACAAAGTCATGTTCAGGCTCTTGGACAGGTCCAGACTGCGATCCACAGCACGTCGCATAGCATGTCGACGATCCGCTGCCAGCACACCAAGCACATCCTTGTGCTTGAGCAGGGAATTAAGGAAGCCAGCCAGTTCCTCCAATCGGTTCGTCAACACACTGCACACATCGGCACACTCAAGACGCCACTTGTTGGCATTCTCCATATTCAGCTGAGCGCTCTGCAGCTCGTGCTTCAGCTGAGAGACCAACTTGCTATCCTCTTGCGCACCATCCAATCGTTGCAACAGCACATCGACTTTGCGCTGCAGCAGCTGATTGCGCTTGACAGCCTTGACGAAGTCAGCCTCTGTGAAGGATTGCTGCAAATCTGTGCCAGCTGTGGAATCATCGCCTGAATGCTCCACGGTTTGTTGCGAATGCTGTTTACCGCTGACCAATTTGGTCAAGCGCTCCACTTCACGATTTTTCTCCCACAGCTCTTTGTTCACGAGATTCTGCAAATTGGCGGTCTTCTTCTTAACCTCCGACTGCAGCTGCTTGATTAGCTCATCCTGATCCTCAATTTGCTTCTCATAGCGCTGCTTGAGGCTGCGTGAAATGTCCACATTACAGGTCTCGGTATCGCTCAGCGAATGGTGCTGCTTGACGGGAGAAGAGGTCTCCGTTAGGGAATTGTTCTGTAATAGAGAGGGCTTTAGATATGGATATACTTATATAGAATATCATATGTTATGTACCTGTTGCTGCTTTTGTTTGTATCGATTGATTTCCTTCTCCTGGCTGCTCAGTTTTTGCATTAGTTTTTGTATTGTGCGGCAGGCTTGCTCGTGCACTCGCTCCCGCTCCTTCAGCTTCTCCTCGGCATCCTGCAGCTCGCAGATTTTGTCGGCCAATTGGGCGCGCAGCTCTGGCGACTGAGTCTGAAAGATAAAATGGATGTCAATGGAAATTATATTACCAATGCTTGATTGAATGATTGATGAGCTACTGGCCAGAGAGCTGAGAGCTAACAGCTGCTATATTTCTATTTATAATAGAATTATATTGATTGATTTGTTGACTGGCTTGCTTGCTCAACTGCCGATGAGCGCTGAACAGTGCGTGATTGATTGATTGACGAGCAACTGACATAGAGAGCGTACAATGCAAATTATGTATATTACAATTTATTTATAATTAATTGTTTGCATGACGATTTGATTTATCAAAGTATTTCAGTTGCAATAACAATTTGACATACAATCCTACTAAATGACATATCCATAATGTATTTTTTTAATCACTTTTATTTACATTTGTAAGTATTTAATAACGAGAAATTTTTGCATAACTACCAGCGAATGATATATCGACACACTATGCTAACAAATTGTATTGGAACTCTAACTTAATTGAAAATACGAAAAATCGACGGCCGGACATACGTACTGAAATATATGTATGAGATATATATATATATATAGGAAGTAGTATGCCATCAGATCATCAGCAGAGTAAACGAAGATATATATGTATATCTATATAGAGAGAGAAATATATATATATATACATATGCATATATACTAAATATAAAATATATACACATGTATATAAATATACACATTTAGCTGTACACTGTCCAGTTTCATGGGTCATTTTGCATTTCGGAGACAAGTGGAGGGACATCATGGGCCTTGGCTGATCTGCCGGGAAATACAGAATGGCCGTGTCGCGGCACAGGGTAGCTACTTAAACTGGTATTGAACATGATTGGTTGATTGATTGTATTGGTTTTGGTAAAATCCATCAATTGGGCGACTGCATCGAGCACCAGCACCAGCGGCAAAGCAGCTCTCGCAATCCATTAAAGGGCGGCAGGGAATAATTATAAAATGCCGTACTGGGCGCTGCCACGGACAAAGGCATTGTGACTGGTCTGCAATGCTGCGAAACGAATCGGATTTATATATATATATATATATAAGTAAAACAATGTGGTTATTGCTTCACCTCAGGCATGGAGTAATACAAGTGCCTCATTTGCTTCGCAGTCAGCGGATCTTGATTATTGAACAATATGCTGATCGCTGAAAAGTTTGGTGATCGATTGGAAATCTCACGAAACTTATTAAACCGGATGGGCTGTATGAAGGCAACTCGTTCCAGGTAATTCATCCGATCACAGTATTGCAGCTTATTGCTGAGATCCTGGAAAAATTGCTTTTCCCGCCGCACAATGTTAACCTCGCAGTTTTGCTTCCTAATCATGCCCTCATACTCAACTAGTCGTATAAAAAGCCGCCGCTGGGCGTGATCTTTTTCACTGTTCATGTCCTTTTGATGGAGGTTGTTTTGGATTAGAGATTTCCCTACTCTATTGCTCTCTCTTTCGCACGTCTACTTACTTCCATTAGCTTTATGGTCTTCCGCTGTACATCTAGGACGCTCACTGCGTCACCTATCCACTTATTTTGTAGCTCGATTTCATGCTGGGCAACGTTTAGCTCGTCGAGCAGGCGTCTATTCTCATTTTCAATGGCGCTTAATTCGAGCTTTTGCCTCGTTATAGTTTGCTAAATATGATTCAAGCAATCGGGCCAGAGCTCACACAACCATTCTACGAATTCTACATACACTACAATTTATATCATACTTACATTCGATTGCTGATTGCTATCGTTGTGCTTATCCAGCTCCTCGAGCAGCTTGGCATTTTTTATAGCCAGCTCCTCGATCTTTGCCTCGCATGCCACAAGCGTCTCCTGCTTTTCAGCTAACTCTGTTGACAATAGTTCCTGATGCCGCTTAGCCTCTGTCTCCCGCAAATCTGCTTCGAGCAAGGCGCTCTCTAGATTTTGAATCTGTTTATAGTAATAAAAATAAATTAAATTCAAATGGTTAGAGATGAGAGTTCTAGTTTCAATATGATTAATCAGTTCAATTGTGAAGCTTAACGGACTTTTTAGCCGATAGTATAGTTCACCAGTTCAAATTGGTTCGATAGGTATGATCGTTCTTCTTTAACAGTTCGATAGAACACATTGTTCATTCTGATCAATCGTTCATCAACGACAACAAACATAATCCGAAACCAATAATATGTAGATAATTTTACACTAAATACTATCCGGCTACCATGTACATTAACTAACCTCAGCTTCGAGAGCTTTTAACTTCTCAGTATCCAGCGAATTCACAGAACTTTTGGATGCTTTCTGCTTGACGGAGCTCTGTGTGTGAAAGAAGAATTCGAATTTAGTTCTCACATTAAAATAATTACACCTAAACCATGATGTTTACCTCCAGCTGTTGAATGTACTGTTGCATTTGTTCAATGAGGGCTTGGCTTTCCATGTCCGCCTTCTTTTGCATTTCCTCGTGCTGGGATATAGCGCGTGCCGCATCCTTTAATAGCTCGGTCTTTTCATCGACCCGCTTGCGCAGTATTTCAATCTCAATTTTGGAGTCAATCAACTGTTTAGCCGGCGAATCGGCAGGTGGTTTGCCGCCACGTGAGCCATGCTGACCCTCCTCCATAAAGTAAATTCGAAGCTTAAGATTGAAGTTCTCCTTACGCAGGGCAGACATTTGCTCCTCCAACTCCCTTACGGAGCGACCCTGCATGGGGGAATGGATACCACCCGGTGCACGCGCCGCATCGAAGCTAGTATCTATCGAAATAAAATAAAGCAAAGTAAAGAAAAATAAATTATTAGTTGAGTCTTAAGAAATTTGCATGCTACTAATACCATCAAACATGCGTAAGCTATTTGTCCTGTTTGTTCGTGGCGAGACCGGTGAGAGAACGCCGTTTTTGCCCATTTTGGCCAATTAATAAAAAAAATATATATATAAAAGGAAACTAAGTGATTGATTTGCATTTAGTATTTACGGGTGTGCTTCCAAACTAAACTAATAAAATAGTTGTATGTGTTGACATAATACACACGGATAGTCAGTTCTGGCGAACTCTAAAGAATGAGTATTAACATATCGGGAAACTGACAATAAAGACCAAACGTCAACTGTAAATGCCCTGTAAATTCGCATACATCTAAGCTCCTAGAAGCATTTCTATAACTAAAATGTATATCACTTTAATTATTAT